GCAGCTCTGACCCTCTCTTCATACTCCTTGACTTTAATGAAAATATCACCAAATTCCCACCTAGACCAAGAGCTAAGAGTGTTGGATAACCTCTTTAATTTATGATGAAACCTCCACATCTTGTTACCCTCTATAGGTCTTTCCCAACAAGTCTTAACAATATCAATGAAATTGGGTTGATTTGTCCAGCAGTTGAGAAATTTAGAGTACTTAATATGATCCTCCTCTCTAGCAATCATTTCCATCAGTAAGGGACAATGGTCAGAGCCTACAGAAGGGAGGTGAGTGATGGTGGTTTGAGGCATTTTCTCTAACCAAGAGTCATTTACCATTGTTCTGTCTAATCTTTTCCACACCCTATTGTGTATACCTCTTTTGTTGGACCATGTAAATTTCTGACCACTGAAACCGAGATCCATCAGGCCACAAGCTTCAATGACAGCTATGAATTCCAAACTTTTCCTCATGTTGTAAGGCACTCCACCAAGCTTCTCATCTATGGAGGTGATAACATTGTAGCCACCTACTGCACACCAGGGGGAATTGGTTGTAGCATTAGCCTGATGTAGCATTCTGTCCCAGAGAGGTCTTCTAAGCTGGTCCTTGCACTTGGCATAAATAATTGTGGTAATGAACTTAGTTTGCAACTCATTATGAGAAATTTCACAGGTCACTTGCTGTTCACCCTCGTCAAGTACTTTGCAGTCAACATCCAAATTCCAAAATAGCCATATCTTACCATTGCAATTACTTATAGCATGGTCCATAGCAAGTTGGTGTCTAAATAGTTGAACATGTGTACTGTCTGAGAAAGGTTCCAGAATAGCTATAAGAGAAATATGATGCATCTTCTTGAGCATTTTGAGTCTTTCCATAACACCTTGAGTGTTAATCCCCCTTACATTCCATATTAGAGTACAGATCATTCGAAGGATTTGGATGTAAAGAGCCTGGTGTTTGGTCTGCCTGCAATGACAGAAATAGGACTTTGCCCTTTGGTAGTTTGGAACCTGTCATAGTGAAATCCCCTTGGTGATAATCCTTGTTGACTTGCTACCTGATGTATTTCCTTTTCTACATCATTGGCATTATGAGGACTGAAAGCTTTAATCAACAGCTCACTAGTCTCATCATCATCCTCCTGTTCCTGTAAGGATTGATTATCTTTATCTAGCTCATCTTCAGAGTTTTCCACATCATATTCATCAATAGCTGGCACTGAGTTGACCTTACAAGTTGCTTTTAAGTCTGGAGGAACCTTAGGAGGAGGAGTCAGGTACTGAGTTTGGAGGGGAAAGATATCCATACTTTGCAGATCATCCACCATAATAAACCTCTTGCAATTGCTGGCCTGGTTGGTCTGTTCCTCTTGCTGATACTGATCATTTCCCTGTTGTGCATTTAATTTCATCTTAGCTGCTTTCCTCTTCTTTTTACTAGGTTTATTCTTGCTCTTAGGGGTGGTCCCTTGTTTGCTAGTACTAGCTTTGGACCCCATATCTTTTGCCATAGCTGCCCCTCTTTGATTGTCATTCTTCCCTTTGTCTGCCTATTGCTTGGACTTTTCAGTTTCAGGTATTTCATTGGCCTGTTCATTATTCTTCTGCCCTCTTTCAGTAGTGTTACCCTGTTGCTCTCTTGTATTCTGAGTAGTTTCTGTATGTTTTTGCTGCAGTTTCTGTTGTTGTTTTGTCATGGCCTGGTGAGGTATAGGGGTTGCAGAGGCTCTAAAGTCAGGATTATGTTCAGTGTGTATTCCCTCATGCAGAACATGAGTCAAATTCCCCCCTTTAGATACCCCTTCCTGCATGTTAGAATGTATCTCCTGACTTCCCCCATCCATCCCCCCTTCAACTTCAACAATGTCATTAGGATAAGAAGTATTGGGGTTTATGGGGATTGGGAGCATTGAGTCAATACCTGTGCTCTTGTTATTTGTTTGTTTTCCTGTTTGCATGGCCTGTACTTTTGGTTGTGGTTTGTTTTAGACATGCTTTTTGTTCCTTGTGGTGTTTTCCTCTCATTGTTGCTATGCCCCTGGATGTCTTTAGTCTGCTTTCCCTGCATGTTAAGGTTAGTAAAAGAATTATGATTAGAGCTGTTATTTATACCTGTTTGCTGAACTGTGGGTTGTGGGTGTTCTTTTGACACTTTGTTCTGTGGTGAAGTTGGTCGCCACACTGCCTTCTGTGTTATCTCCTCCTGTGGTTTATTGTTTCTTCTTTTTGACACCTGCCATTCTGCTTCCTTTTGTTGTTCAGGTGGCTGCTGGTTGCTCCTTTCTTTGGTGTTTTGGTGTTGTTGTTCCTCTTGTTCCCTTGGCCTGACTTGTCTATGATCAGTTCCTTGTTGCCCTTGTTCACCTTGATTTATGTTTTTCATTTCTGCTCCTAACTCTTTTCTTCGTTGGAAATCCTCATCCCTTATTTTGAAATTACAGTCCCCTATCATGTGACCTTGGTGTTTGCAGTATGCACAATATGGAGGGATATTTTCGTATTCAATTGGTTGCCATCTCCCTATGGTGAGATCTTCATCATCCAGTCCAATCCAAACATGTCGAGGTCTAGCCTTGGTGAGGTCTACTTAGACTTTCACCTTGGCCATACTTGCTCGAGTTCGTTTAATGGAAGCTGTGTCTAAGTATAAGACTTTGCCCACAGATTTCAGCAGAGGAGTGATGAACTCTTTCTTGAAGCAGTGCCAAGGTAAACCTGGTAGCATTACCCATATAGGAACGATAGGTGTTACTTCTTCAGGTCTGAAATTGGGAGTCCAAGCTTGTATTCTCATGAGTTTGCCCTGGATGGTCATTCTTTGTTGTGTCCATACAGTGTTATAGTCCAATTCATTTTGCAAATCAATAAACACATGCCTAGCATTATAATGAGCAATATTGATCCCCCATTCAGCTGAGTTTGTAGGATAAAGCTCTTCCTGATGAGTTCTATCTTAGGCATAGTGTTGCTGAATTTACCTATAAGAGTATATTTACAGTCCACTGCTAATTTGTTCATGAAATCATCCATATCGTAGATCACAGCAGGTTGACCCTGCTTAGTAGTTTGTCTGGGAGGAACAAGTTGTATAGAACTGATCTGAGTAGCGTGTATTTGTCTGAGCCTAGCAGCTAAAGTCTGTACCATAGTATAAGGAGCAGGTTCAACACTCTGATTCTGTTTGGTATTCTGGTTCTCGTTAGAATTGATTGGTTCTTTGGAATGATTGGGCTGGTTTATTTGTTGATTCTTCTGATTGGAGGTGGTATGTCTATCAAAGTTGCTAGAGAGTTTGGGGAAATCCTTATGATAATTATTTGGTTCAATATTCCCTCCTGGATCAGGTGATTGAGATGAATTTTTATCTCGCACACTACTTAGAAGTCGATTACCTTGCTGTTGTGTTTCGGTGTCTCCCCTGCCTTTTTCCAACTCTTCCCTCATACTATTCTTTTGCCCATTAGCATTATCATTAACAAGGACATCACTGCTGGTGTAGGGTTTATGGTTTAGGGTTTAGGGTTTAGGGTTTCGAGCTTAGGGTTTCGGGCTTAGGATTTTAAATATAGGGTTTAAGATGTAATGTTTAGGGTTAGGGTTTAGGGTTTAGGGTTTTGACTTTACGATTTAGGGTTTAGATTTAGAGTTTAGGATTAATTGTTTAGGGCTACGGTCTAGGATTTAGGGATTAGGGTTTAGGGTTTATGGTTTAGGGTTATGGTTTAGGGTTTAGAGTTTAGGAATCCTTATTTAGGGTTTAGAGTTTAGGAATTAGGGCTCAGGGTTTAGCATTTAGTGTTTAGAATTTAGGGTTAGGGTTTACAATTTAGAGTTAAGGATTTAGGGTTTAGGATTTAGGGATTAGTTTTAGGTTTTTATGGTTTAGAGTTTACGGTTTATGGTTTATAGTTAGGGTTTAGGGATTATACTTTAGGGTTTAGTGTTTAGGGTTAAGTGTTAAGGGTTAGAGTTTAGGGTTTAGATTTTAGGATTTAGGGTTTAGGGTCTAGGGTTTTGGGGTTATGGTTTAAAATTTAGGGTTTAGGGTTAAGGTTTTCTGGTTTAGGGTTTACGGTTACAAATTAGTGTTTAGAGGTTACGATTTATGGTTTAGGATTTAGAGATTACGGTGTAGACTTTAGGATTTTGGGTTTAGGGTTTAGGGTTTAGAGTTTGGATTTTAAGGTTTAGGGTCTAGGGTTTATGGTTTGGGGTTTAAGGTTTAGGTTTAGGATTTAGGGTTTAGGGTTGATGTTTTTGGTTTAGGGTTTGGGATTTGGGCTTTAGGGTTTAGGATTTAGGGTTTAAGGTTTTAGGGTTTAAGGTTTAGGACTTATGATTTAAAATTTAGGTTTTAGGGTTAAGGTTTAGGTTTTTGGTGAAGTGTTTAAGGTTTAGAGTTTACGGTTGTTCTTTTAGGGTTTAGGGGTTTGGGTTGATGGGTTTAGGATTTAGGAGTTAGGGTTTAGTTGTTAGGATTTAGGGTTTTATGGTTTAGAGTTTAGGGTTTTTTTTTCTTTTTTCTTTTTCCTTTAATGACCCTTGGGTGGGTCAGGGGCTGAGCAACACCCCCAGGTCTTATCATTTTAAAAAAAAATTATACAAGGAGGGGGACAAATACCTTACCTCCAATCTTAAGGTGGGTCAAGAATCGACCTACCTACTAATGTTAGTCGACTCCACCCTATACAATAAGATGTAATATTAAACTAAGCACCTAGAGAGGACTCCTCTCTTAATACAAAGTACTAATAATACATAAATAAGGGAGACTCTCCCCTTACAAGAAATTTAGATTTATGTCTAATCAAACTACTATACCTAAAGACATAGTAATTGGAAAAATAATATCTCATGAATCAACTTGTCTAGGGATTGTATGAGTCCTTCTTACGACACTTGGTATATCATGAGTATTAATGAGATTCTCTCAAGTTTGTCACTATTACTTTCTTCACTGTTGGCTTGAAAAACAAGCTGAACATCTTGTCTTCTTGAGAACTCCCCTAGCTGCAGATAATTCCTTCTTGTTGCACCTGGTTTTGATTATCGAGTAATAGATGTTTGACTGTTAATTTACACAAGATACCATGCATGTTGTTATACTGTATGCTTCTGGAGAATTTCCACCACCACCAGGAGCTCCTATTCCTAATCAAACAACCAAACTAAGTTAATAGTTAAGTTAAAGATAGAAACAGGAAATCGAGGAAGTGTGTTGAAAATCAAGGAGGAATTTTCATCCTTCTCAGATTTTTTCTTCTGAAACTTTGAATTCCCATTTTTTCCAGAATGTAACTTCCTCTAACTGCTTTTGGTAACTGGTTGGGGGTGTAATAATGTTGGATGATATCTTGCTTATGACTTTGTTTGGACAACAAGTCTGTTGTACTGTTGGCCTCTCTGTATGTATGAACACATTGAACGTATGTACACTGTTTAGCAATGTCATGTAGCTCCTGCACAAACCTGCTAAGCCTCCAAGAAGGATCAGAAATCTGCAAAAACCATTTGGTTAGTAATTCAGAATCCACTTCTAAAATGATGTTTTGATACCCATGTTGGATACACCAATTGAGCCCATAACTGGCAGCCTGTACCTCTGCCTGATTATTGGTCCCTTCACCCAATGGTATAGCAAATGCATAAACAATAATCCCATTCGAATCCCTCAGAATACCACCCCCTCCAATCTTTCTCGGGTTATTCAAAGCACTACCATCCGTATTCAGTTTATAATTAGAAATAGAGGGAGTTTTCCACCTTACTGAGATGACTCTAACCTCATGTACAACATGTTCTATCATGTTTACAACCTCTGGCCACTGACTTGGCCACTGAATATAGGGAAATAAAGTTCTGAGAAGCTGAAACATGTCTTTATTATTAATCAAATATTTAACCCTGCTGATACTAGAAATCTTTCCCCCATACTTGGCTGAACACCTATTTTTCCATAAATTCCAGCAAATAACTATAGGAAGAGTCTGAATAATAATCTTGTGAGCTTCATTTTTAACTTGAATGCCACCCCAATTTAAAAGATAGCTACTCAGGGATGTCTGTTGTATATTAATACCCAATGAATTTGCAAAAAAATTCCAGATATGTGTTGAAAAATTCCCTTGAATGAATATATGATCCACTTCATCCCATCCTTGCTGATAACAACAAGAACATTTCACAGGTTCCACCCCAAAGGTCCCTAATTTCTCATTAGTTGGTAGTTTTTTCCTCAAAGCCCTCCAAAGGAGAAAGGACATTTTGAAAGGAATATGTCTATGCCAAATTTGAGAATTAAGATCTGTAGTGTTCTTCTTATTTCTGCAAATTTCCCAAGCTGATGTACAAGTGAATTTTCCAGATTCAGTATGTTTCCAGACAGCACTATATGAAACTCCCTGCAAAAACTGAAAATTAGTATTTATAATATAAGAAATGAGAAGAGGTGGAACATGTTGCCTCAGTTTCCTTTCATTCCATTTTCCATTAGTTAGAAAGTGTGCAATAGTAGCATTATTGAGGCTTGATATACCAGTAGTATAATTAGCTAGAGCTCCTACTCCCAACCAATCATCCCACCAAAATGAGCAACTTCCTGAATTGATTGTCCAACCTATATGCTCTTCTACTTTAATCTTGTTCCTCATCAAAGATTGTCCATTGTCCACCTTTTTTGCAACTGGATGAGCTCTTTGACAATATTTGGATTTAAGAAATTGACTCCATAAAGATTTTTTGATTTGAAAGTCCACCATTGTTTGTATTGCAAGGCAGTGCATATATCAGTGAGTCTTCTCATCCCTACCCCTCCTTCTGTACAAGGTAAACTCATAGTGTCCAGTGAAGCCCAATGGTATTTCTTTTTATCCTGATCCCTTCCCCAGAAGAAGTCAGCAATAATGACCTCTATGTATTTGATAGTAGTATTGGGGGGAGAAATTGCTGCCATAGTATGTATAGGTATAGATTGGACAGCATGATTGATCAATGTAATCCTTCCCCCAAAGCTAAGAATCCTTGCCTGCCATACACAAACCTTTTTGGAGACCTTCTCAACTAGATGTGAGTAATAAATGATCTTTTGTCTACTAATCTATAGAGGACATCCTAAATAAGTAATAGGACTGCATTTCTGGGAAAAAATTGTACATTCCTGAATATTATTGATAATATCCTGTGATGTATTGTCTGGAACCATAAAATGACTCTTAGATTTATTAATAAGTTGACCAGATGTATGCTCATACTCCCCCAAAGTTTCCATAAATAGTTTCAAGGAGTGTCTGTCAGTAGATGCAAATATAATTACATCATCTACAAAACTTAGATGATTTATCTGTGGCCCCTTAGGTTCCATAAAGAAACCTTTATAGTTTGGAA